CTATCATATCTGGCTTTCATTTGCGAAGACTTTAGAGCCATACGTTTCCTAACACAAGAACGAATTTCTTCTAATCTTTCCTTTAAATTATCCACAAAATTCTCTGAAAGCAATTTCTCTTCATCAAATTTAGGACTTTCTTGTAACAAGTCTACTGGTAGCCTACGTTCTCGAGCGAAGTACAACTCGGCAGGAGTCACTCTTGTAGTCTTATGTTTCGACGATCTATATGCTAAGAGAAACATAGGAATCCATTCATCCCAATGTTTCTTATTTTCAGAAATGTATTTCGCCAAGTAATTGATAATTGTCTGATGTTGACGTTCCACCTGGCCATCTGATTGAGGATGAAGAGCAGTAGTCCTTGTCTTTTTGATTTTAAGAAGTCGCATTAATTCTCCAAATAACTGAGACCCGAAATTCTTTTTCTGATCTGTGTGAATTTCAATAGGCACTCCATGCCTTGAAACAAACTGACTTACAAAATTTCAGCCACAGTCTTGGCTCTAATATTCTTGACAGGGAAATCTTCCACCCATTTGGGAAACAATCCACTATTACAAGAAGATACTTATTCCCTGACTTAGTCAACGGAAGAGGACCAAGGATATCCATTTGCACCCTTTCTAATGGAGCTTCGACGTTATAAATTTGCAAAGGAGATTTTCCTTTTCCAGAAGGACCTTTCTTTGATATACATATCTTGCAGGTTCTGCACCACTTCTAACGTCTTGCTTACAATTCGCCCAAAAGAATATTTTTCGAATCCTCTCAAGAGTCTTGTTAACTCCGAAATGTCCTCCGGACGGAGAGATCATGTGTTTCCTATAAAATCTCTTTGATCCGATCTTGAGGAACTATTAATTGAAGGAAACTGGTTTGAAGATTTGGGGCTTCCCATCTCTTATAGAGAATTCCATTTTTAGAACGAGAGAATCCCAATAAGACCAATAAATCTGAGCCGAAACATTTTTGGTAAAAACTTCCGAATGCAATGGTCTTTTTCTGTTTCTTTTCGTCGTATAATAAATGAAATGCTTGGATCTTTTTGCTGTGCACGACGCCACTCTTCCAGATCTTCTCCCGCAAGCATAATGCGAGCGACCATTTTCTCTGTTTCTTCTGCGTTTTTCGTCTCGACTTTAGCGATAAACATAACAACGGTCAGCTACTGAGCAGCCGCTATTTTTGTTTCGGCGAAGATCATCTTTCTGAGATAATTGCAATCATACATGAAAAACAAAGGGCTGAGTGGAATATATAATGAGGACTTAAGCGCTCTCAAATCATAGTACGGTGACCGCGAGAGCACACGTTGTCCTCAAGGAAAATTCGGACGGCAAAAGTTTAGTGGCTATATTGTAACGAAAATGCGGACCAAAAGTACATTGACTTATAACGTGTGTCATAATTGTGGGAAAAAATGTGTCCAATTCCAATGGATAAAGACATTGCGGTCGACGTTTCTGACGACGTGTCTGATGACATCTCTGATGACGAGATGGAAATGGAGGTCATCACGATCTCTGATGACGAGGAAGAAGACGACGAATACGACATGTACGACCCTGTGTACGCCAAGGAGATGAATATTGTCCTGGATGATATAGAAGAAATGGAAATCGTGCCGGGCATATTCCGACAAGAAGAAGAAGAAGAAGAAGAACAGCATCAAATAGTAGACGATGGCTACGAAAGTGATCGCGTGATCGAGTCGTCGCGCGAGAAAACATTGGATATTCGAGCCATTGTATCCTTCGATGAGAACACGAGGTGTGCGTGTTGTATGCGTACGTCGCACCGTGAGGATTACTAAAATCTGCATTCCTTGTTTCATGAGAAACAGGGAAAGATTTGCAACCATTGACGTCATCGAGAAGCACGAGACGATGCGGTACAGAGATGTGCCGCATCACCACTGCATCGATTGCCAGGAAAGATTGTTCACAATCTTCCTGACCAACATGTGCCCAGCGTGCCAAGTATGTAAGTATATATATATATATATACATATGTCAAAAATAAGATAAAATAGTACAATAATATATTATATTTCTGTGTGCAGGTGCCAAGACACAGTCCGCCGCGTGAGCCTCTTTCGCCGCTGAATCCATGCGTGGATCCCGAGTCGCCGGCTCTCTCGCCGTCGCCACCGCCGCCGAATCCAGGCATGTATCCGGGCCGCCGCCTCTCTTTCTCTCTCCTACCTCCGACGATCTTTTTTATATAGTTATTTTATATTGTTATATATCTGGTATATCGTTTTATATAATTTATATATCTTTTGTACTTTTTATATTTTATATTTTTATTATATATATTTTTATTTTATAAATTTTAATACGTTTTATATAATTGTATATAATTAATATATCTTTTATACTTTTATACATATATTTTTATATATATCGTTTATACTTTTTATTATAAATTTTATAATTTTTAATTTTTATACAGGGTGTCCGGCAACTAACGGACCAATGATTAAGGGCGGATTCTTTGGCCAATTTGGAGACAATTTTTCCTTAGCAAAATGTTAAGAAGTCAATAATTTTCGAGTTATAAGCGATTGAAAAAAATGGGTCTTTTGAAAACTAAACGTTTTGGAGTTAAAAGTCTAACATAATTATATTCTTTAGTTAATTTCAGGTAGAGTTTACTATAATAAAATTTTAATTTGAGGCTTAGTTATAAAGATACATAATGACAAATATTGGAAAGTTGTAAAAATGATGACTTTATTTGACATTTTCGCTGAGGAAAAATCGTTTCCAAATTGACCAAAGAATCCATTTGTAATCGTTGGTCCGTTAGTTACCGGACACCCTGTATTTACACACACACACACACACGCACGCACGCACGCACGCACGCACGCACGCACGCACGCACGCCTGATGATATAGCCCTTTGTGAAAAGTTTTTGAGTGGGGGTGAAGGCTTACGAGAGATGCCTATTTGCAATGGGCATCATAAAGTTGCGAGCAGCTTCAGAAGCAGCAACAGCAGAAGCATCAGCAAGACCAAAATAAAAAATGACGGGAGGATATTTGCACGGTATCGACCCCAAATTAGTAAGTATAGTATTTTAAATAAATGTAATATTTTTATATTTTTATATATTTAATTTATATATTTAATATTAATTTCAGATGATCCAAGCCCTCATTCTGAATAGGGAACCAGTGGTGCCGAGGGTACCGGTTATTGAGGAAGAGGAGGAGAGGCAGGGACGTAGGGAGCCCACTGACAAACAGTGGGTCAGGTGGCAAAGGGCGAGGAGGCGGGAGGAGCTGGACGTGCTGTGGGGCGACGTCCAGGGGGCACGACACCTGGAGGGCCATTACCCTGATGTATGGGCAAACGAGTTCGGCCTAGTGGAACTGTTCGATCCACCAGAGCCGTACGATTGGGGCCCGATTCTCCGGGAACTTGAAGGCGAAGACTGGAACGGTAATAATAATTAAGAAAATTTTTTAAATATAATACTGTATTATATTTATAAATTAATAATTGTTCTGCTTACAGACCCGTCCGACGTTCCAGTAAGGCCTCAGCTTCAGTCTCAGCCGACATCACCCCATCACCGCCGTCGCCGCCGCCGCCGTCACCGCCGCAATCCTCGTCTCCGCAATCACCCATTTTATAATTAAGGTTTATTTTTATTTTTATTTTTCATTTTTATATCTATATTTTTATATATTTTATATTTTTTCATATAATTATTGTTTCGGCTGATAATCGTTTTCTGAACGATCGGTGGGCAAGGAATGATTGGATGTAATAACGAAGTCTTCGTCGGTGTCGAATGCTCCTTTTAATTGTTGTTCGTCCTTCTCTTAACAAGATTGGATTCTACGCCGTCGTGCGGAGATATACAATTTGTGCAGGAGAAAACTGTGCGCTTTCTGAAGAATACAAAGCGATGGGTTTTCAATATAATTTGCCTGGCCTGTTGTCGTTTAGACGGCAGAGCGCTGACTCATCTCGGAAACGGGCATCGGATCGCTCGAACCTGCCGGTCTCCGAGAAAAGTGGGAGAATTTCCGAAAATAAGAGCGCAGACAATAACATGCTTTGTAATATTTTTCATCGATGAGCTGTGTACTCGCGCGCGCAAACAATACGAAAGTCGAGGCGAGTAATTATCGCGGAATCGATTCCGAAACATACCGCTTGCCTCGAATGTATATTCGAAATGAGCGAATAGTAATAAACAAGAAGTTCGCTTTGGCTTGCGTCAACGCCGATAATATTGACAACAAATTGACAGAATTTAACTCAATCGAGTTTAACGGTTTTATCGTGATTATAAGGCGACGAACGACAAACATACATAAGAAAGTAACAAATTAATTTTAGACAAATTAACAAACAAAAGAGAAAAAAAAATAATGAGAGCAAGTACTCGCTTTACTTATCGTCTCCGCCCGCCGTGCCGGAAGTCATTGACATCTCTTGATTGATGTCAACAGGGAGATAACAAACTTTATGATAGGGCGCTTATATTCGGCGCGGCTCGTTCAGACGGTGACAACTCTCGTCAAGCCGTCGGCGCCGGGATGACACGCGACAATTCGGCCGAGCTCCCAATGACTCGGGGGAGCTTGCGGATTTCGTAAGAGAACTAATTGTCCGACGCGCGCTAATTTTTGCACAATTCGCCATTTCGGGCGTTGTTGGAGGGTGAGCAGGTAATCGTTGCGCCAAGATCTCCAAAAACCTTCGATGATGCGTTGCGTAATCTGCCAGCGCGACAGTCGATTTTCGTGCAGGTCGAGAACGCTGAGTTCGGAAGATGCCACTAGCGGGGCGCCGATTAAAAAATGCCCAGGAGTCAAGACGCGGTAGTCCTCCAGATTCTCAGAGACGGCGGATAGCGGTCGAGAATTTAGACACGATTCGATCCTACAGAAGAGGGTGTTCACTTCCTCGTACGTGAGGATGTGCGCACCTATACATCGTTTGAGATGCGTTTTGACGCTACGCACACCGGCCTCTCAGAGACCGCCAAAATGTGGGGCGGCAGGAGGGAGGAAATGCCACGATGTTTTTTCGCAAGCGGTCGCCTCAATAAAATTCGGATCGCAGAGGGCGCGACGATGGGCATCGGCTAATTCGCGATCGGCTCCTTGAAAAGTTGTGCCATTATCGCAATACATCCTCTGTGGAAGATCTCGTCTTGACACAAACCGATGATACGCTGCGATAAAGGTTGCGGAAGTGTAATCGGTCACGATTTCAAGATGGATAGTCTTAGTCGTGAGGCATACGAACAGGGCGATGTACGCTTTATGCGATTTGTGTCCGCGCCCGGGTGCACTTCGCAACAGAATGGGACCAGCATAGTCGACTCCCGTGTGTGAAAAAGGTCGCGCCGCGCGGTTTACGCGAGCCGACGGAAGATCTCCCATGAGTTCGTTTGGAATGGTCGCAGCCTCGCGGACACATCGCACGCATTTATGAAGGACGGCGCGGACGCAAGTACGTGCGCGGAGAATCCAGAATTCGGATCGTAAGGATGCAAGAGTCAGTTGTGAACTGCCGTGTAGCATGCGATGATGGTGATGATCGATGATGAGAGAAAGGAGGGGATGCGACCGAAGGACGATCGGATACTTCGTCGAATCTGGCAGGCGAGTGTGACGTAGACGTCCGCGGACGCGGATGAGTCCGTCGGCGCTCAACGAAGGATTGAGAGATGCAAGTGGACTGGATTTGGACACGGATCGCTCCGCAGCGAGACAGGCTAACTCGGCGGGGAACATAGCTGCCTGTATACATCGGAGCCAGTACACTTTGGCTGCAGCAATTTCGTCGACGCGCGAACTGAGTTCGAATGATTGGTTTCGCGGTCGCGCGAGATTCCCGAATCGAATGAGATACAAGGTCACGCGAGATTCCTGAATCGAATGAGATACGAGGTTACGCGAAGCAATTTCGGCCAGAATGAGAAGCGAAACGCGAGATCACATAGTTCCGGAGGACCCTGAGAGTCCGCGACGTGTACGTTTCGCTTTTCCAAAAGATCGTTGGGTGTGATCTCATCTTGACGAGATGGCCGTTCGGCCAAGAGGTCGGAGGGAGGGACAGCCACGGGGGTCCGTACCACCATAACGGGTGTGAGCTAGCTCGTCCGGAGCAATCCCACGGGACGCGGCATCGGCTGCGTTATCGTGAGTAGCCACATGGCGCACGGGATGTCTGGTAAGATTGTTTGAATGGACGCGACGCGATTTGCTACAAACGTTCGCCAGCAGGACGGCGATTTACTTAGCCAGGCGAGCGTTATTGTGGAATCCGTCCAACAATATGTCTCGATGTTCGGCAGTAGTTGAAGCGTCGTTCGAACGAACTGCACGAGACGCGAGAGAGATGTGCAGCGGCCAGCTCGAGACGCGGAACGCTTAGTGTTTTGAAGGGGGCGACCTTTGACTTCGCGGCGAGCAAGCAAACATCGATCGATCCGTCGATGTGAATGTTACGGAGATAGACTACCGCGCGTAGGCTTCGTAGAGGCGTCTGAGAGCCGTGTGTAACTCAGCTTTCAAGGTATGAGAGCCGGATCGCGTCCAGCGCGCGATTTCGAGTTGGTGAAGGCACGATAATTTAGAATGATACCGTTCCCAGGCGGTTGGTTGCGTAATCAACGGGATGTCGTCGTCCCAATCGCATTTTAGTTGCCACAAGGTTTGCAGGAAGATTTTCGCGGGTAATCACGATGGGGGTGATCCAACCAAGCGGATCAAACAATTCTTGCGATGGTCGATAAGATCTCGCGTTTCGTTTTCGAGACATGTACGGGAGGAAAACTTAACTTGAAAGATATCGCGACCCGGGTCCCACGTGAGACCTAGCACGTTCAGTCGCTCATCGTCGTGTAGATCTTTCGAACAGGCCAGGCCGTGATCGGACGGATCAATATCCGACAGAAGATCCTCGCAAGTGCTCACCCACTTTCTCAAGCGAAAACCGCCCTTTGATAATAAAGCGACAAGTTGATCGCGAGTCTGGCGCGCAGAGAATTTTATCATCGGCGCCGAACACGCGGTCGTCGACGTAAAGTTGCGACAGGAGGACCGGTACCGCGAGCGGGAACGAGGCGCCTTCGTCTTGCGCTAACTGTCGCACCACACGGAGAGCGAGCGGTAAGGAGCGGAAGCGGTGCCGTAGGTAACGGTGAGTAATTGATACTCATCGACTGGTTGTTACGGAGACTCGCGCCACAGAATCCTCTGGTAGTCAAACATCG